TGCAAAAATAAAATAAATAAAAATTTTATTTTTACCTAATAAATCGGGCGTTACTTTTGGTGACTACTGTACAATAACTAACATAATGTTCGGGTTCTTTTGGATTCCATAAGATTAAAGCGAACTGTGCACAACAATGCCATCCGATAGGTGCACCTTCGGGATCAGCAAAATCCAAATAAATAGACACTTTGTTCGGATTATTGTTACCAAATGGAAAAAGTAAAATTCTCCTGAATTTAAATTTATAAATTTTCAAACAGGTTGAATGCCTGTTTATTTAAATCTAATCGAGAAAGTAAGTAAAAAAAAGTTGGATGGAACAACCCACCATTTCCAACCTCCAGCCTCAAATTCTGGACCAGTTATTCTTTTTTCTAAATTTTTCCAATTAATTACGTTCCATGTATGATATTGAAAATCTTCAATTTCATGGCCAAGATCGGGCATAATTTTATTCGAGAAGTTTAAAATCGCTTCATCTATTAGATGTAGATGTAGATGTAAATTTGGTCAACAAATACAGAAATACAGTACAATACACATTACTAATTGTTATAAATTAGACAGTTTCTTTTGTTTTTAATTTTCGGAGTTTATTTAATAAACATACAATCCATTATAGTCAGAAATCTTTATTGTGAGAAAATAAGGACACTTTTTATGTCTGTAGAAATAACGACAATGCAGATGCTTTGTTACGGAAGATAATGGAAATAATAAAGGAACTTTCGTATGCATACTTGCATGATTATACCCAAGAAGTTAAGTCATATATTTAAACTACGTACAGTACTGTGTGATGTTATGCAAAATCTGTTACACATATTGTTTTTATATGTTACGTAGGTACGTACGTATGTACGTACGTAAGTATGTGCGTACGTGTGTACGTACGTACGTACGTACGTAAGTATGTGCGTACGTGTGTACGTGCGTACGTGCGTACGTGCGTAGCAGGTACAGTAGTGTGTTCTGTGCAGAATTACAGTACCTAATTGCGCAGTTATGACCGTAAAAAGTCTGACAGATTTCTCGGAATTTTCCTTGATAAATGATTTATGATTTTTTATGGTTAGACCCATTGAGAGAATATTCGCCCGAGTATTATTAAATTACCCGATATCCGATATATATAATAACGATTTAAACTTAATCTAATCCATAAAATGATTGGTATTTGATATTTTACAGGAGAAAAAATGCATTTAAACTTGTAAATAATAGAAATGATATGAGTGCCGCCAAGGGAAAACCCGCAAATCTTATTAA